ATACATATATATGTATATATATACATATATATGTATATATATACATATATATGTATACACACACACATATATGTATATATATATATATAACATATATATGTATACACACACATACATATATGTATATATATATATAACATATAACATATATATACATATACACACACACACATATATGTATATTATCTTTATTCATGATCGTGTATACATATACATATATATATATAATATATAGATATATATATATATATATGTGTGTGTGTGTGTGTGTACATATACATACATACATATATACATACATACATACAAATATAAATACGAATGAATATGACTTTGATCCGTGTTTATTTTTCAGGTTAGTTCTGTTCTGCGCCTCCCTTAGACAGCAAAGCCCTAATCTCTCCCTGGGATAGACCGGCACTCTTGAGCACTTCCATGGTATTCTGCCCCAGTGACACATTGATGTTCCCACTATCATCCTCTGTGATATATTGCACGGAGTAGGGTAGTGCACAATATTATTGAGACAAGGCGGTTAAAACCCTAAACATTACCACCAGCGCCCTCCCGTCATACGATACGGATTTATTTAATAAAACAGTACTGGTGTCATAGGACAGGGGTCAGATGCACTTGTGTGTGGGGCAGAGCAACTCCAAGTGAACGGCTAGTTGTAGCGATAGTCTTCAAAAGTGTGGCCGATTGGCCTTGGCCTACAGTTAAGGGTTTCGAATTAAAGTCATGGGCCAGACTAGAAGCATAGTAAAGGACATAACATACATTATACAAATTCACGCACTCATATATACGCAGGTATAATCTGCTTGTAAGACATAGAACTGAACGTACCATTATGATCGGGTATATACACATACATACATACATATAATCTCAAGTACAAACCCACCTATTGTTATCCACCAAACACTATGAGCCTGTGCTGGCTTTGAATGGATGTAGCACATACGTGGCTGAAGAAACAGAAATACACACTTTCATATAGTGGATATATGAGTGTGTAATTGTAATACTTCATATGGTGAATATATGAATGTGTAATTGTAATACTTCATATGGTGAATGTATGAGTGTGTAATTGTAATATATGAGTGTGTAATTGTAATATTTCATATGGTGAATATATGAGTGTGTAATTGAAACAGGGAGGCTAACCATCTTTCCACGTGCCAGCCAAGACACGCGCTCTCGTGAGTCGCGTATTTCAATTCAATACAAATTCCGATACCACACACGAGCCATTCGTCCACATCCTCGAACACATATATACAAACACAGACATAGCGTAAGATATACACACACAAACACACACGCACATAGCGTAAGATACACACACATATACGAATTTGCACATACACACACACAGCGTAGACACAGGCACACACAGCGTAGAAACACACATACATATACATGCATTTGCATACACACTTAGCGTAAAATACACACACACATACATGCATATACACACCCACACCCACATAACGTAAGATACAAACACACACACATATATATGCATATACACATCCACACCCACATAGTGTAAGATACACACATACATACATACATGCATTTCCATACACACACAACCAAAGCACTCTGCCTCCACACGCATAGCACTTGTACCTGCGGGTGTGCGCGATAGCCTGGGTGCGGGTGAGGGGTAGGGTGTGGGCTTTCCATTGATGTCTGTGTCTCTAAAGGCCTGGCGTGCTGTAGCGTGAGCGTCTGAGATAGCCTCGTCGATCTCCAACACAGGCGTCACACAGGCATCTAACTCTGTGGGCGTGTGGTACGGTGTGGAGAAGACACGGTTAAGATCAGAGGTTGGTAGTGTTTTTTTTGTAGGGTTTTAGGGTTTATAGGGTTTAGGAACGTGAGCTGTGGTATAAAGACTGGATAATGTAAACGGGAAGATCGGGATCACACCGGAACAACAGTTACAAATAACGGTACATGCCGCCATTAAATATTAGACCAAAAAACAAGAATGGTGCATATCGCCGTTAAATAATCAAAAACAGTCCTGAAACGGTACATGCTGCCTTCAAATAATATATTAAACGGTGTATCGGATGGGTACTGAATGTGAGGTATGAATTGTGGAATAAAGTCTATTGAGAGCCTTATCGTATGGGTACTGAATGTGAGGTATGAATTGTGAAATAAAGTCTATTGAGAGTCTAATCGTATGGGTACTGAATGTGAGGTATGAATTGTGGAATAAAGTCTATTGAGAGTGGTCTTGCGAAGTGTGCGATTGCGGAAGCGAATCGGAAAAGTCCAACGACGACTCTTTATGCAGCAGTGGAGGCATAGTACACACACGAGATAGCCCAGAAGCAGGTAAACAAATACACACGGGTGAAAAAGCATAGGCCGATGAGATAGTACAGAAACAGGTAGACGAATACACACGGGTGAAAAAGCATAGACGATCAGATAGTACAGAAGCAGGTGAACAAATACACACAGGTGAAAAAGCATAGACTGATGAGATAGTACAGAAGCACGTAAACGGATACACACGGGTGAAAAAACATCACTCAATAGACACGAGTAATACACTGTCACCTTCGGTGAAAGCACACACCTGTGAATATCGCGGTCCACTCGTCCCGGGTTTTGGACCTGAATTTGTCCTCGAAGACCTTCCTCATCTCATCATATTTCCTAATATACGTGACGAAATGAGGGTATAAGAATACCAAGTATAGCAACATACATGGATACTATTGTATATACGTAGATCAGACACAGCCCACCACTCTCTCTGCAGTATTATAGCACACACGCACCTCCTTCCTCTCACGCCATGTCTTGTGTACGTACCAATAAAGCGCGTGAGGGTATGCGGACAGAATGGAACCAAATATAAAAGATATCTACATAGATGAATACTTTGTTGTAGATACGTAGATCGTACACAATCTTCTGGACCTAAACCCATTTCCTAATACAAGTGAGAATAGGAGGACAGAAGAATATCGAATATATCTATATACATGAATACTGTCGTATATATGTAGGTCATATACAGCCAAAGAAGGGCATAAGAACATCGAATATATCTACATACATGGATACGATCGTATATATGTAGGTCATATACAGTCTGCTTGACGCAAACCGATTTGCTAGAAAATGTGCACATACTAATACCGAATATAGCTACATACATGCACGTAGCACGCAACAGGTGTATTTGTTCTTCTCAGCCATTGCCATTGCAACAAATGATGCATGAGTGCATCTGAGCGAAGGTGAGAGATGATAAACACAGAAGAAACACACAAAACAGCACACGCGGATATGTACAGTGACCTGGACCTAGTATTATACAATACGACAGTATCTGCGCAATGTCGTACTGTGTCTGTGTTCAGTACGACAGTATGGTAGCAATATTGTACAGTGTCTATGTTCAGTACGACAGTATGGTGGTAATATCGTACAGTGTCTATGTTCAATACGACAGTACGGTAGTAATATCGTACAGTGTCTATGTTCAGTACGACAGTACCAGAACCCTAAACCCTACCCTTTAAACACGTATACGCAAATGCTACCTACAGTGTGTATGCTTATTCACCCAGGATACGTCAAACCCTACACCTAAAACACGTGCACGCACATGCTACCTACAGTGTGTATGCTTATTCACCCAGGATACGTCAAACCCTACCCCTAAAACACGTGCATGCACATGCTACCTACAGTGTGTATGCTAATTCACCCAGGATACGTCAAACCCTACCCCTAAAAGATGTGTACGCAACATGCTTCCTGTTGTGTGTATACTTATTCACCAAGGATACGTCCCTCCCCTTAAGTCTTGAGTAGTATGGATTCGGTGCATAGTACGACATGTTGTAGGCGGACACATGCACATGCACGTGAGATGTGCCAAAGGTGCCATAAGCAACTGCAGCCATACTTGCGTCATGCGGGTTACCGTTTATACATGCCAGTGTTTGTATAAAGGAATGACTTGTGGTCACAACGAAGCTACGCTACACATGTATACATGCCAGCGTTTGTATAAAGGAACGACTTGTGGTTGTAACGAAGCCACGCTACACATGTATACATGTCAGCGTTTGTGTAAAGGAATGAATTGTGGTCATGACGAAGCTACGCTACGCATGTATACGTGCCAGTGTTTGTATACAGGAATGACTTGTGGTCACAACGAAGCTACGCTACACATGAAGGATTGTGCTGTGGGGTTAAGTATGAAGAACTCTGGCTGACATGAACGTAAGTGAGAGGCAAAGGCGTACACTTCATGTGTGCACGCATTCGCCATGCGTTAGAGCATACAAGCCTGTCCTGTCCACACCACATATGGGCGAACCACACAATTGAGTCTCTATTTTGCCCAGAAGTGTTTGGCCTACGCGTGAACGTTTGTGCATATATATAGATAAAATATTATAACCAGGACAAGGAACTCTGTACTCACATGATATCCATCTGCTTGAAGGTCTTCGGCTCAATCTCCAGTCCTTCACACAGCTGCGTAAGCGATGGTCAAAATTGTGTTGTCAGTGGGTTGTGAGTATATATATATATATACATATATACATACATACATACA